TCGCTTGTAAAATACAACATTTTAAGTAGTTTTGACAACATCTTGTGGAGAAGTCCCTTGAAGCTTGCCTTTTTTCCTCCTGTTCTTTTCTCCTGCAGAGATGGGAAAAAAACCTCAGTCGTCCTGAAAAAAGGCGCCAAAACGGAAAAGACTCCATTAACAACGCAAACTTTTTTATACATGAAATACGGTTATACTTACGGAAATTTATCCCACCTTTTTCCTTTATAGATAATCCTGAAGTTCTGAAATTTATTACAGTAGTCCTCACTAGTGTTTTATTGCTGGAATTCATCATTCATCTAAATTGGCATAAACGGTCGGGTATAAAAATTTGCGTCCTTATTTATCAATTTTTCGCAGCGAGCATGTGATTTTAAGCAATCCGAAATATGCTTGGGGATCATCAGTTATGTTACGGCTGAGGCTTCGCTGATAGAAGTGGTATTTCATCCGAACAGACAGATGGACAGGTCGGCAAATTGGTGTTCATGATGGAACTCTGCTTCGTGTCAGAACTAGTTACTTTTACTTGTATGATTGCCTGTGGCGTGTGTGTGAGGACGAACAGGGGACCGAACAGAGGTGGGCAGAAATAATGGTGAAATAGCATTGGATTTTTTTGATCAAATTGTACACCTTTATGATTTGGCGCACTCATCGCGCTAGTTTCCTCCGTGTTTCACTTCCTTGTCCCGCTTTTTAATGAGCGTGTCAAAATTTTGTATTTTTTCCAGTTCCTGTGTGATTTCGTCGTTGCAAATTTGATTAGAAATTCAGTGACAGGGAGAATTTTTTTTTTCCTTTTGACTCTGAAGCAACAGAATTTCGAATTTTTCACATTTGGAATAACTAGTTCCCAGAACTCTGACAGTGCTCGGGCTGCCACTGTAGCCTATGTTACTGAGGTACAGTTGACGGTTCTGCATTGCCTTATCTGCCTACAGTTGACGTGTCATATTGACGAGTTGCACGCGCCTTTTTTCTGGCAATCAGTGAATAACCCGCGAGTGCCACTCTCTGATATGCCATGTTCGCGGATTTTTTTAGTAGCAAAGCCGGCGGTGTACTTTGTAAAAGTATTGCGGATCTGATATCGTGAAAGGAGTTGGGAAATGGTTTGGCAAAGGCCCTCTTCAGAATAAAATTTATACAGTTTGGAGGCGAACGAAAACACCTAGACCGATCTAAAAAGCAACAGCTGGGCAGCCAGAAAACTTCTAGGCATTATTTTCATACTGTATGCACTATTCTTGATAGTCTTGTTGAATTCCGCTACTGCGGAACTGTTTCGTTGAATGACTACGGACACACGGACGCCGCGGTGGTCAGAAGATGGAGCGTTGCTCCTTTGCGGACAAGAGTTTGTGTGCTGGCAGTACATAAATGAACTCGGACAGGTTGATAGTGCGTGGACGGTTGCGGAGACTACCAGGACTTGCATCATGGGGCTGCTTCGGATGCACGTATTGGCGGTCTAGGCGATCGCAGCACGATTATTCAGTGCAGAACTCCTCCTGTCACAAAACTTTCCAAAGCCCTCTCGAAATTTTCCTCTCACTTCCTCGGGGAAATGACACTGAAAGAGAGTGTGCATGTGTGTTAGAGACGTCACTATGCAAGAACAAGTTTTGCAATCATTCTGGCGCTACTGGAATGCGCTGCTGTCCTTTCTACCGGCGAGCCGACCTTGAATATTGCGCAATCGAGCGATGATTGGACGCTCGCAGTGCACATAAACGACTAGTTCACTTTTTCGGCTGTGTTCATGTGCTGAATGGATCATGCTTGCAAATTACTAACTCGTAGCAGCCGCTGCACTTCGGAGGAATAGCACTGTGGAGAACGGAAGAATGGAAGGATGGCGTGCGGAAAAAGGAAGGAGAGGAGTGACGGAAAAAGACAGCATGGATAATATTGAAATGCAGCAGTCATTTTCAACGACATCTTCGCCTTTGTGCTAGTAATTAATAAAATTCAGAATTTTTTTATTATTCTTTGCGTAGCCTTTTTAAAAAAATCCTCAACGTTAGATGAATTGCGAACGATGTCATCGAGACCCAGCGAGTTAGTGAACTCCTTTGGGAAGAGAATGTTACCGACCTTACGAATAACCGGCGAACGTTGTGTATTAGTGAATGGTACTTGCGAGAGAGTCGGCGTTCACTCGGGCGGCACCTGAATAAGGTGTAAGTACTACTAGAGATATACAGTTGAGGAACAAAGGGTCTGTCACGCCTGTGCGCAATGTGTGGGAGCATTTTAGTGAAAACATTGACCTGGACTGTTCCACTGTCCATTGTCCATGTTTTTTGCATCAAGGCAATGCAAAAACGGACACTGTGGAGGGGTTGTACATATATATATATATATATATATATGTATATATACACATATATATATACATGTATGTGTATATATGTATATATATGAATATATATATA